CCGAACACCATTAGAGAGAGAGAGTTGTGATGTTGAATGGGAGTTACAAGTTGGTGAAGGAGGTGAAGGGAGGAGGGAGTTTTATAATCATGTGAATTTATGGGGATTTATGGAGGTATAATGAAGGAATAATGATGGGGGTTATGGAAAATGAAGGGTGTAGTGGCGTGTGGTTTTGAATGGGAGTTATCTCCCTAAATTACACTCCGTTGTGTAAAATCTGACCTGAACGGTACGCGGTTTTTCCCCTGAATGGGTCCAAATTGAAAACCGTTTACGTTTTTGGAATCAGACAGTCAAAACAAACTTAATGACGTGTTCAAATAATTTTTCTAAGAACTATTTTTTTTATTTTCCCCAACTCTGGACCGGAACAGTAATTAATTATTTAAAATAATCAATTCTAATAGACCGGGTTGTAGGGCGTTACAATTATCCACCCCTTAAAAAAAAATTTCGTCCTCGAAATTTACCTAGTCATTGATCACCATGATTACGTCATGTGCGAACTACTCAGTGCGTCCGCGCTTTGCGTTTGTGCGAGCTGAAGCCTCTCCAGACTGAGCGCTCAGCGTCGGCCTATTGGGCTGGCTGGACACTGCTACCGATCTTTGGCTCTGAGCGGGCTGGGCGGCTGGGACTGGAGCTTCGGGTTATGTCGTAAATGCCTCGCCAGGGTTCGTTGGGCAGTCCCTACGAAAATGCCCGGCCTGACCACATCCTAGGCATAAGCCCTGAGTAAACCAACATTCTCCGGGGTGCCTTCGACCGCATAGGGTGCAGATCGAGTACCGATATCCACTCTTACTCGGGTTCTTCCCGCTTTCCTGTGTAGGCACTGGTGACGGGGCATGTGTTGACTTGGTCTTCTTGCTTGTGTGCGGGCTGCTTGGCACGGAGGGAGACCCCTTGCTGCTTAAGCTAGGCGGAGGTGGACGAGGATGCGTCGTCTGGGCGTGCTCGTACTCGGCCTTCTTGATGAGGGCTGCATTCATGTCCAACGCATGCTTGAACAGTGCATTGATGTCAACCCGAGGAGCAGTGATCAGATGGGCTGATAAGTCGGGGCGTAAACCCTCCACAAAGCGCTTGCACCGCTTCTCCATGGTTGGGACGAGGTCTTGCCCAAATCCTGCGAGCTCGTCAAACTTTTGACGATACTCAGGTAGTGTGAGTTCGCCCTGGGTGAATTTCAAGAACTCCTCTCGCTTCGCCTCGACGAAGTGCTCTGGAATGTACTCTTCATGGAAGAGTCGATCGAATGTGGGCCACTGCACGGTCTCAGGGACGTCTGCTCCCACGCGTTTCCACCAGTCGTAGGCGGAATCCTAAAGTAATGCTACTGCGAGGTCGCCGCGCTGATCTTGTGGAACCCTAAGGTTTCCCAAAACTCGTACGATTCGCTCAAACCATCGTTTAGCGATCATGGGGTCGGCGATCTGGTCGCCTAAGAATTCCTCAGCTCCGTTCTTCCGGAGCTTCTCGATGGTGACCACAGCCACCAGTGGTGGCGGTGGTGGCGGAGGTGGAACATATGTGCCAGCCAACTGCTGGAGGAAGTTCATGAAGTTAGCCGCGAACTGCGGCTGATTGATGAGTACGACTTCCGGAACAGGACCCGCGCCCGGGGCTGCCTGCTCTGGGACTTGCTGGGGTGTGAAGCTCGATGCTTCCGTGTGCACGCTCACGTGCTCAGGCCCCTCATGTGGGACAGCCTGTCCATCGTTGCCTGCTGCTTGACTCATTCTCTATGGAAATAACTTAAATGAGAACTAATTACAATATGTCATACATGCGATTAAAATAACGTTGTACCTTTCCCTGGGAGTGATGTGAAGGGAGATGCGGCTGTGGACTTTTTGAATATACTCTTTGACCAAGATGCCAAATTTTGTTTTTTTTTGTTGTTTTTTTTTTCACAAAATCGAACTGCTCTGATACCAAATTGTAACACCCGCCTTCCGTGAACCCGGTTCACCGCGACTCAACGGACTGGTAGGGTTACATGGGCGGTCCGAGAACCGTCCGTAGAGGAAAATGAATTAATGACTATTTATTATAGAAACGGTTGAGTTTAATTGGTGAAATAAATGCTAGGGAATTAATTTCAAAACATGTGTGATTTAAATGCAGAGTAAAAGCGGAAGTAAATTGACAAGTCCAAAATAAATAAAACGACATATGGTAGGTTCATGCCCAAATGATTAATTAATTAAATGTATTTAATTATTGAACTTGTCCATGCGCCGCCCATCTTCCCACCATCACTGTCCTCTAGGGTTAGCACCTGTACCGTCATGTCTACTTACGTGTAGCAAAAACAACTACACGCTCAGCAAAAGCTGAGGAGTGAATCTAACAAAAGAACATGAAGTGATAACCCATATGGTTATACACATATAAATACCTGTACTTAACGTACGGAAAACCACATGTTTGCTAACTGATTAATTTGCACTTGATGGGATATTGTTACACATAACAAAATGAATAACAACCACATTGAA